TTATTTCTATAATATTTAATATTTTAAAATTATTAATATGCTCATATTAACATAGATATTCATTTAAAATATCTGTCTCAATTAGTCATCTGATACTTAAATATGACTTACAGGTTTCCAAAAATATAGGAATACTAAATGTTTATCAACAAAATGTATATATACCTTCAAACAAACATTTCATTGATTAACATTTTAAAGTTTCTGAAGTTAAATCTAGGGAAATCAAATCTCAACTTAAATATTAAAAGAGATAGCTAGATGAACTATATAAAAGAAAGTACATTCAAACATTTTCTAGCAATAGAAAGTGTTTTGTTGAGTTTTCTAATTTCCTTTCAATTTCTATTTTCATTTAAATGGTTGGCAGAATTATCACGAACATGTTTCCTTAAAGAAACAAAACACGATTTAATGAACAAATATTTGCTTTCTCAAGTGTTCATAAAGTTTTTCAAACCAAAATTTATCTGAATATGTATATTAATCATAATATTGGCAGCAGATGATACTCATCAATCTATAGATGTGATAATTAAATGTGAAGTTTCTTGAACAGGTTACTTAGTCCAATTTGGTAAATTGTACTAATTACCATGTGTACTAACAATTTTCAGTGAGAATGTAAAAATCAACCACAGATTTTTTTTGGCCAAGTGCACCAGAGTGTTTGTACTTTGTAATGCACATAAAAATGCCATGATTTTCTGGTTTCTGATATTTGAAATCTTTACTATTTGTTTATTTCCTTTATATGCATATAAATTACTATGAAAATTATCATCTCCTTTGAAATTAATTTATTTTCTCAGGTTAATCTCTTGGCTTTTGGATTTATCATATACAAAGTTTTTCGTCACACTGCAGGGTTGAAACCAGAAGTCAGTTGCTATGAGAACATAAGGTAAATGTTCCATTAAGTCTACTTTTGTGTGTGTGTGTGTGTGATTAAAAGCTTTAGTAACATAAGGTACAAATAACTTTTGAAAGGACAAATTTTGAATGATTTTTCATGCTTTCTTCCTCTATGCTTAAAGTACTTTTTGTTAAGTAGCATTTAGTATGTTTAATAAGCCTACAATTACCACTTATGAAATGGTAAGTAAAACAATCTTTTTAAGCATACTTCTCTTTGAAAGAAAAGACAATGACCATTTTAAGAAAAAGTGGGCCTTAGTGATTTTTTTTTTTTGCAAAACACTTCTCAAAGCTTCGTTCCTGAGATTCTTCCTTGTGTTTCCTAGTTTACATGTGGCCATGATTTTTCCTTTAACCCCTCTCTTTAACATTGATTAATTAAGACTGTGAAAAAAGTTTGTTTAGGGAAAACTTTAGTGTATCATAGGGAACATTAGACATAACTGATGTTTCGGTTGCTTGGAAACACTACTGTAGTTTCGTTACCTTGCACAAGATTTATAGTTAGAATTTAGCAAATGTTTGATTGATTCCTTTCTTTTACTACTCACCATTCATAGTTTCACATAACGTGCTGGTTTTAATTTTCTGAAGTACGCTGCTAAAACATCTTCTGCATAAAGAATGCTTAGACTAAAAAGAATAAAAAAAAATAATCATTAGTTGCCTCATTCTTAAGGCAGTGAGCAGGATTGAATAGTGGTTTGCCAAAAGTCATAGGCTAAAGGCTGAAAATAAGTAAGAGTGAATCTTAAGGCAGTGAGCAGGATTGAATAGTGGTTTACTAAAAGTCACAGGCTAAAGGCTGAAAATAAGTGAGTATGGGCATGCATTATCTTTTAATTTTTAAGAAATTAGTATTTTGACATGACTTTATTTGGAGGTAATGGTATTAGAAAAGCTATAAAATAAAATCTACTTTTATATTTTACTAAACCAGAAAGGAAAGTTTTCTTTGATGTCAGGTATACAGTGGGGCCTTGACTTACAAGTGTCCTGACTAATGAGTTTTTTGAGATACCAGTTGTCTCTCGGCGGATTTTTTGCATTGAGTTGATAGAGTAATTTGAGTTAATGAGCTCCTTAACTAGGTTGGTCTCAGAACGAATTAAACTCGTAAGTAAAGTCCCCACTGTATGTGCTGACCACAGTTTGCATGGTATCCTTTTTAAGATTTCTTAAAGAAAATATTTCCTAACAGACATATGTGTTACCTTCGGGAATTGCTGCAACATTCGATGTGAAATCAAAGCACACACACTGCAGTACAGCAGATAAAAATATTTTTAAGATTAAGAAAATTCCTCGATAAATGGTATATTTTAATAACGCTACCTTGGTTTTGGAAGCCCATCCTTGCCACAGTGCAGGAGCGTGCTTGAAAGGCTGCCCCATTAACTGTGCAGAGTTTGTCAGAGTTTATCAAATTGTTATTGGTTTTTGCAAGATTTCTCACTTATACCACAAACTAGCTTCCCACATAATATGAGGAATCGGGGATATGAGTACACGTAACTTTCTTAACGGGAACATTTCAAACACGTTCTAGGTCTTGTGCCAGAGGAGCCCTTGCTCTCCTGTTCCTTCTTGGCACCACCTGGATCTTTGGGGTCCTTCATGTTGTACACGCATCAGTGGTGACAGCTTACCTCTTCACCATCAGCAATGCCTTCCAAGGAATGTTCATTTTCTTATTTCTGTGTGTTTTATCTAGAAAGGTAAGTGGTTTGTTATATTGGCCAACTCTATGACATATTCATATAGCATCAGTTACCAAATTGATAAAAACCCTTATTCTCAATAAAGGCATGACTTGTGTCTTAATTGCCTAAATGCAGTACATTTTAGTATAAAAAAAATCAGAACACCTACCTGTTCTCAGAAAAATATGCTTTTTGTAAACTTGCTACTAGGAATATAAATATAGCTTATATTCCTTTGAGCATATTCTCACAGATAATTACAAGGCATTAATAATTTAGAAAACATAACAATGAAATGTGATTTGAAAATAATTTGATGTGATTGTTGAAATTATATTTAATATTTCTCTCTTCCCTTTTGCTTTTCTTTAGATCCAGGAAGAATATTATAGGTTGTTCAAAAATGTCCCTTGTTGTTTTGGATGTTTAAGGTAAACAGAGGGAACTATGGATAGTTATTGCTACACAAAAATAAAAAAGCCAAGCTGTGGATGGCCAATGCCTGAAAATGACTCAAGCAAATTATCCAATTAATTACTAGATAATCAAATATTTAAAGTCAGTTTTTCTGTTTACAGTGTAGGAACTGAATATAGTAGGTAAAATTATGTACCATGTAGCTACAGTATGCTTCCCTACATGACTTAGTTATGTCAAAAATAATATTACAGATATTTGGAAAGTAATTGGTTTCTCGGGAGTGATATCACTGCGCCCAAGGATAGATTTTCTTTCTAACACAAGAAATATATGAATGTCCTGAAGGAAACCACTGGCTTGATATTTTATGACTCATGTTGACTTTAAAACTAGTCCCCTATCACCTTGGTAATGAGCTCTGTTACAGAAAGTGGAACATAAGAGAATAAAGGAGCAGAATATAAAATAGTAGAAAGGGAATGACTGTCATAACAATGGAATGTATTTTGAATGAACTTGGGTGCTTTTTTTTGTAAACTAGATGAGAAATTATAAAGATAAAATAAAGAATTGAATAAACACATCTTACCATTTCATGAATTGTTCTGAACATAAGTTTCTACCAAAATAACTTGCACCTAAAAAATAAAATAAAAATAACTTGCACCTGTATTTGTTATATTCACTTTCTTTTCCAATATTTCTAAAATCTGCACAGCTTCACAAAAGAAAAACACACACGTTTCTGTTCTGTTTTTATGTTAACATTAGAATGAGGCATATGCTATTTCTATACTTCTTTCACAGATTGTAACTTCAAATGCATAATCAGTAATGCACAAATGTGTCAAAATATAGTATTGTTCATGCCTGTTAATGTTGTTCATGCCTGTAAATAAAGCTGAAGCTTTCTATTCAATGACCTTCAGTGTAGTGAAAAATATTGTATCTCATTAGACTGATATATTTGAGTTCCTTATTTTTTTAATTTCAAAAATATTATAGTTTACATTGCAATATTCCATTTTAACTTACCGTTTTTAAAAGGGCATTGTAAATAGGGAAGTATTCATAAAGTGAATTGCTTTTTTTTTCTGTTCAGAAAAGTATACACTTCAAAGTGTTATTTATGACAAAGAAATCACTAAGAACTTCAGAAATTTTCACAGTGGATCTATTTTCTGACAGGTTTCCACTATCTATTAAAGCATATCTGTTTAAATGTACTGCTGCTATCTATCCTCAAATTGTCTCATTAAAATGAAGAAGAACTGACTAAGATTCCAAATGTGTCACTGTTCTGCGCCTACCTATAAAAGTATGCCAATACGTTAAATGCTGTGATTTTAATTTCTCCAGCTGTTGAAATGCAGTCTGTCAGATCTTTCTCTAACAAATAAAATGTTATCTAAATGAATCCTGCTACTGCTTTGCTAAGTCCTTGAGCAACCTGCCATTTTTAGACAATCCATAATCATAACTTTTTATTATGTGGTTTTTTTTATCTCTTACATAGTAAACCTAAGAGCTATTATTGTCATTGTCATTATAGGACAGTGTTTGGGGAATCTCATATGGAAAAGTAATTTGTTCAATCCATGGTGTGGTAGGCAGAATATTGACCCTCCAAAATGTCCACACCCTAGGTCATAACTTATGACTATTTTAAGTTGCATGGAGAGAAGAATTTAGGTTGATAATCAGCCGACCTTCACATTGGAACAGCATCATGGATTTTCTGGTTGGCCCAATGTAATCACAAAATTCCTTATATAAGTAAAAGAGGAGGCATAACAGGGAGCTTGTCAGAATATGAAAACTATATTCTTTTGCATGAGATTTCAGGCCTTCTCATATCACCCTACTTCCCTGGTTTTCACTTTTGCCCTATCAACGTTTCTTTAGTCATACCAAACTGTTTATTTTCCCCCAAACGTGTTATCTGTTACCTAATCTCCTATTTCTGGAATTTTCTCACTGTTACCATCATTACTCTGACAAACATCTACTTATCCCTAATGTATCTTTCTCAATGAAACCTTCCTTGATTCACACAAAGAATTAATGCTTCCGCCTTTGTGTCACTGCTGTCTAGTAGATACCTATTTTACCATTTATCACATTGCATTGCAATTATTTAGCCTTTGAACATTCATTGTACCAAGTTTTGTTCTGCCTTAAAGGCAGGTACCTCCTCTTTTTTGCTTCTTGAGTCAATATTACTGCCTTCTGCCGTCTTGTGACCACACAATTGATGTGATAAGAGGGTCCGGACCCTCTGAACTAGTCTGCATTTTGATCTTTCCCTTTAGGTTTTCCATACTGAAGTCCATGGGGTAAACCGGCTTTCTCAGGTAAAGCCCTCCCTGCTTGTCTCTTACTGTCACGCAGTGAGGCGGAAAGAGATGACCCAACAAGGTCAAATTGATGAAGTGGAACAGACAGGAGAATGAAGCTGCCTTGAGTTCATACTAAAGCTTAACTCAATTTTCTGGGAAAAAACTTTGGGGATTTGTAAGGAGCTTGCCAAACTACTAATAGAGTAGCACTTCATTACCCATTTGGCTTTTTATTTTATTTTATTATGGTTTAAAGTATTTTACATGTCTTCTTCTTTCCCAATTGACCCCCCACCTCCAAGCCACTACCACCCCCGAGGACAAGTTCCCACCGCCTCAGTGTCTGTGTCCATTGGTTATGCTGATATGCATGCGTACAAGTCCTTTGGTTGATCTCTAACCCCCCCTCCTCCACTGCCTTCTCTCTGAGGTTGAACGGTCTGTTCAGTGCTACATTGTCTCTGGATTTATTTTTGTTCATCAGTTTATGTTGATCATTATCTCATATATATGAGTGAGATCATGTGATATTTATCTTTCTCTGACTGGCTTATTTCACTTAACATAATGCTCTCCAGTTCCATCCATGTTGCAGCAAATGGTAAAAATTCCTTTTTTATAGCAGCATAGCATTCTATTGTGTAGATGTACCACAGTTTTTTAACCCATTCATCTGCTGATGGGTTAAATATCCCTTTGCATTCAATCAATCCAGGAAAATAGTAGGTGGTCCATTGTAAAAACAAGTACAACAAATGGGGGATCCCAAAGCTTTATTAAAGAGGCAAACCAAGGAGTCCTTTTCCAGAGAACATAACAAATCCCCCCCCCCCCCAAGCCACTACCACCCCCGAGGACAAGTTCCCACCGCCTCAGTGTCTGTGTCCATTGGTTATGCTGATATGCATGCGTACAAGTCCTTTGGTTGATCTCTAACCCCCCCTCCTCCACTGCCTTCTCTCTGAGGTTGAATGGTCTGTTTAGTGCTACCTTGTCTCTGGATCTATTTTTGTTCATCAGTTTATGTTGATCATTATCTCATATATGAGTGAGATCATGTGATATTTATCTTTCCCTGACTGGCTTATTTCACTTAACATAATGCTCTCCAGTGCCATCCATGCTGCAGCAAATGTTAAAAGTTCCTTCTTTTTTACAGCAGTGTAGTACGAATCATTGTGTACATGTAAGAGTTGGGTTCTCTCTCTTTTTATGCTGTTTATTGCCCTAATCCATGACTTATTTGGGACTGATTGCAAAATTTTCTAATTCCCACACCTTCCTCATTTCCTAGATATAGAAACGTTCCCTCATCAGATTAGGATTGGGTCCCTGGTGATTGGTAGATGCCCTTCACTTCTGTACTGAAGCCAGACGGGCTCAGGGGGGGT